CCCCGTCTGGGGCTAGGTAGCTTATTTTGCACACGGTGCCCAAGAACGAGTAAATGCTCACATCCAAACTACTAGGCCTACCTCCCAAGGTCCATGGACGCTTCCCAATCCTTTAGTTCGGCTTTTCCCTAGCTTAATCACTAAATGATTCCATCTTATCGGGACGGCAAGCTCCGATGAAGAGTGGGTCACTTTTGAGAAAGAACCACCGCTCCTTTGGCTTCACGGTCCTCAAGCTTTCAAACATGACTGAGCGACAGTTTTGAGTGCGGGCATACAATAAGTGTTATTGACAGTGAGGTATTCAAAAGTAGCCATACATATAGGTAGTGGGAGGATAGCAATAAAGTTGACACAAACCTGGACACGGCGAATACCACAGCGATGCTCGCACCCTGGGAATGACCCATGAGGGTTACCCTCATTGGATCACCACCAAATGCTTCGATTTCCTCGTGCATCATTTCCAAGCCGGCAACGATATCTGCAAAAAAGTCCGCCTTCTACTCTTTCCATATTTTGCTGAGGGCTGTGGTAGCCACAGATTTTCAATGGGTCAGCTTTCGCTACATGTTTGGTTCAAGCAACTCTCCGATAGGGTTCAAGTCATAAGCAGGTAGAAAAGACCGCGTATAGGCTCATTCCGCCATTCCTGACCCCGCCTCGACTAATTGCGACGATATCAACAGTATGTCCAGAGAGTCTGGGGAGGTTATGAGGGTCTCCCATGCTCATCAAGGGTTTTCCACTTGCCAAAAACTTGCTCCCCAACATTGCCGTGAAAAAAATTCTCCAGCAGCTTCAGACAACTGTCAATTTCTTCGCATCGAAAAACATTTGAGCGGCACCGCTATCCTCAGTGGTTCGCTGGCAGTTTGATCAGGAATACCCTCTTTGTCCGGAAAGTACAAACAAAGACAAACAACTCTGTCCACATCACGCCATTTGGTGAAATCGTCTTATGCTTGCGAATGTATCGCTTACCAGCACTAAATTTGCTGGTGCCAACTGGAAGCCCTACTGCTGTAGCAGATACAACCACGTGCTTCTCTGGTTGTATCTCTTGACATTGATTCACCTGGTGTGCTCTGATTCCTATGCTAGTGCCACCCCCCCCCCCCCCTCCAAATAGCTCGGATTCCACAGCCAGTGGGTTCTGAAAGCCTACCGGCTGCGTGAACTCAGAGCACGTAATTGCGTTCTATCAAAACTTTTCCATACTGAAGATAGCAAAAGCGGCCGCTCACTGGGAGCACCTGCGTCTCATGTCCTTTAGCCACAGCTCAGGTCAAAAGGCAAAATAAGGGGAAATTGACCACTCACCTGACCCTCGCCTCCTCCAAAAGTTACGATTTCCTCTAGGCCAACATTCGTCCCATGGGGTGGATCTGTCTTATAAAGTATCCATTTTAGATGCCGTCTTACCCCTCCCCACCCGAATATCGCCTCTTTCTTGGACACGAAAGCGTTGACGCCCACGCCCCACAGCCGCTCGTGTCGAATTTCGGCGACACAAACACTGAAGCGCGAGAACTATAGTAGCTGCTATTGGGCAAACAGTTATTGGCTAGGTTCGTGGTCTAGTCCTCTTGGAGAACTCAAAAGGTTCACACATTTTGAGGTATTTCTGGTTAGTGTCAAAACGAAACCCAAACCCACGCCAAGCATTGTAAGTAAGCCCACTTACAAATTATGCTGGGTGAGTAAGCGAACAAGTTACTATTGAGTAAAGTCCAGTAAGAAACACTAGGAATTTGAGTTCCAGAGCAGGAGCTCTTGGCTAAACAGTTAGTAACAACCCGTTCCCTTTCATAATAATCATTATGGTGTGACCTACATACCGTAGAGGGCTAAATTCCGAGGAACCACTGTGTCGTCAGCGAACGCAGAAACACCGAAAATCCCAAGTCGGAAAGCGGATATTACAAAGACCACGTCTGAAAAAAGAGGAAGAGGTATTGCGTCAATCCACCAACACCTTACTTATCACTTACTAGTGAATTAACTTTTTCTGCGAGCACTACTGTAGCTTCAGGCGGAGGGGATGGGAGTCAGTTGTTTATCGCCTGCACAGGCCTGGGCGTGTCTGGGGCTGGGTTTGGCGCAGTGTCGACCAGTCCCACTATTTTTTGAAGTGGGCAACAGCGGAAACGGACTGACCACACGCCGAACCCAGCATCTGCAGCAAAAATGCGTATAAATTTGTCTGTTTGCATCATGTCACCAAGATAGTGAGCCTCTCTCCCGAGGTTCAGCCTTTGGAAAAGATCGTAGACGACAAGAGTTCGTGAGCGAAGTTTTCTGCTTGCCCCCCCCCCGCCACCCCGCTCAACTACAGCAGCTCCGATCCTGCTCGCTGATACTCGCGATCAGGTGGCTTCACCTTTTGACGAATATCGATCCGTTATGTATTGGTCGTCGAACATCACAGCCGAGTCGTAATTCAGACTACCGCCATGTAAGTAGAATACGACGGGACACGCGTGTTTCTGCAGATTTTCCTTATTTTTACAGTAGTTCTTCATCAAAAAAAGGGATAGCCAACCTTTTGCAAGCAGTTTTCGCTGACAAATATGTTCATATAGAGGCAATCTTCACTCATAAATTTTTGCGGTGATCTGCTGACAGTGGAATTGCTCAAGCAGGCAGCACTGAAAGTTGGTTGAAGGGAAGTTCGATTGAAGCGCTCATTTGACTACTATACGAAGCTATACCATCAGGCAGTTGTAGATTGGCTTCAGACTTCCAACTCTCACGCAGGGTGCAGCATCGTTGACATGTGACATGGCGGCATATAAGACCCCCGCCCTCTTGTTTTCCCGTCTGGTACAACTCCCTTTCCTATGCTGCCTACCATCATCATAAGGTTTCCCAGTATCACCACTTTCTCTCAGTCTCCGGAAAATATTCCAGTTTTCCCCAAAGAACTGGTGTGAGCCAGCGGATGGGATGAGAGAGGTCGTCAAAATCCAACTACTGACCTCAGCTATCAGTAATGCTATTGTGCCGTAGTTTTGCGGCACCTGCAACTGAAGGGGCGACGATTCTCTCAATTCTCCCATGCTCTCACGGGTTTTCTGAACCTTCAGGGAAATTCGGGTCTCAAAATACTGATCAATTGATCGGTACG